AGCTGACAATGACCTGTCCAGAGAGTTGGGAAGCTCCGCAACACATCTGTAATCCTAAAAACACTCGCAGAAATAGCAAGCTCCTGTGTAGTGCTGCGCTCCCCCGGCCAGCGCGTGTTTCAGAGTTCCAGAAGGTATAAAATGCTGTGGCAGAGGAGACTTTGTGGAAGAGCAAGGGAATTTGAGTCCCTCTTAAGGAGTGGTAGGTTTTGGGCGGTTTGAATGTTCGTTCCCTCTGAGCATCCTGTTCATACAGTCAAAGAGTGGATTTATAGTCTATTAGTGGGTTTGCGATAACTTATTTAGCAGTAAACTGGCTTCTTGGTATGGGTTATTTTTGTCTGTAGAGTGTGGGAGATCTGTATCTTCCCATGAACATGCATTTCTCCATGTGTGTCCTTCAGGTCATTTGGTGCCGTTTCTTGCTAGATAGGAGTTGAGTAAAAAGGAGCTGTTTAGAAATTAGCCGTGACTAAAGGTAGGAAATCCAACAAAAATACTTCCAGGGGTCTTAAGAGAGCAGTGGGTCATTTGTCAGCCGGGGAGGTGACTGCCTGCTTGGCTCTGGCGTGGTATTAGGCCTCTTTGGGGTCCTAAGATCAAAAGAAAACTAAACTGCTCTTAAAGAGGAAGACGAGCAGTCCCTGCCTGGCAGGGAAGAGGAAGGGTTAGCTGGATGCGGCTTGGAGAGGGGGGACTGCAGACAGAGTCTGGGAACGTTGTAGGGAAGCACTAAGAAGAGTGGAAAGCTGCAGACAAGACTGAGGCGCTGAGGTCTGCTGGAATATTGTCCCTCGTGTCTCTTTACGATGCACTTTGGGTTAACGGATCATTCGCTTCTCTGGAAAAAGTTGTTTAACTGTCATCAGTCACTGGTCACAGGTTCCTGCAGGAAAGTGCTGTGTGAGGTCAGGTGGCTGGTGTGTTTAATAGGGCTACGTGGAGGAGGAGGAGGGGAGCCTTGGGATATAATCTTGGAGGTAAGAAGATCTTGGGTTTTGTACAGTGAGTACCAGAGTGCCTCGCCTGAGGGGTGAGCTGCTGAGGCGTCGCAGAACGACGGAGGGTCTCTCTGCCCCGTTGCAGCTGTGGATGGAGAAAACACTTGCGTATCCTGGAGAGTTTGTTTAAGGAGGCCAGTCTGTGGGGATCCAGCCTAGGAGAGGGGCAGGTGGAGGCTTGTTAGCTGGAAAGGGTGTCTGGAGAAGCTAGAGGAGAGAGATCACAGATACCATTCATCCCTGCACGTTTAGTCTATCCAAACTTGAAGCTGCTTTTTGAGTTAGCAGTCCTCTCGCTTGCAGAACTTAGCAGAAAAGCGTGTCTGGAAACCACATCCTCGTGGATGTCTCCAGCAATGTGGCTTATTTAGCCCCGCTGGCACGTTTATGTAGAGCTGGCCTTGGGCACAAGGAGCGACGGGTCTGTCCTGGTTGCCCGTGTTTACCTCTGAGCTGCAGAGTCAGCGTGATCCGCCCGCCCTTGTGCCGAGGCGCTTTGGTGCGGGTGACTGCTTCCTCTCCTTCCCGTGGTCGTGAGCTGTTCATGAGGGCCGTTGTTGTTGTCCCCTTATAGACACCGTCTCCATAAACAGGCAAAACAATACGTACGCTAAGCTCATGTGGAAAGCCAGAGGATAGGTATCAAAATCTGATGGCTTAATCGTCCTACTACAAGAATTAGTGTGAAATACTGATGATCAAAGGCAGTCGCAGTGCTGCCTCTTGCTATTAAGCCTGGGAGTGAAGCAACTATTACTTAACATGAGAGTGAGTGAGGTTAAAGATGCTTAAAACATGAGGTGTCTTCCTGGGCGTGCTTGCCAGCTTTCCTGGTGCTACTTCTGGAGTAAAAGGAATATGGATTAAATACATGATGGACAAATACATACACGCTAGCTCAGTTTCAGGCTGGCCAGTGGATTCTAGGGGAGCCCCAATTTATGCACTCACACAGATGATGGGGTCCCAAAAAATCTCAGCTGATTGCTCCAACATCTGGGGGTGCGCATTGAGCTGCTTCTGCCATGGTGAACTCGAGACGTGTGGCAGAGGACGTTGGCTGACGGGACACGTCTGCTGCAGAAACTAGACTTGGGCTGTGGTGAGTTTGGGCTGCTGTGTTTACATCTGGGCTTTGAATCGGTCCTGGTGAAAGTACGGCCTCGTTAGCCCTCGCTGGGCATGGACTGGGAGCAGGCTTGGCATGCAGAGTCCTCCCATCGTCCTGACTCGCCCTGCGTTCAAGGCCTGCGCTCTCGCTGTGGGAATTTTATCAATTTTGTTCTCGTCATACGTACAAAATAGGACTGGAATACAACCGTGAGGGCTGCTTGGCTTCTGCCGTCTGCAGCAGGGACGTTCATCTTCGGAGACCTACAAACAGCTGTGCCTTTTCTCTGTGGGTTGTATTGGAGAGATCCTACGGCTACCCTAAAAATCCTGCTTAGGAGCCCACTGCAAGAAAATCCGATTTTCAGTTTGTTTGTACGGCTTTTCTTGCTGTCTGTAGGTCTAACGACGTTTCTGTGTCTGCCACGGAGCTGCACGGAGGAGCCAGCCGTGTTAGGAAAGCGATCAGAACTTCCACTTTGGACAACTCTGTTTTCTGTGAGGAAACATGAATTCTTGGTACTTCTGACCCATGGGGAAATGCCTGCGTATGCACGCTGACAGTTTTTTGAAAGCAAATTGAAGCTGAAGCCCAGGGCTTTGGGGGATCCTGGGGTGCAGGAGCCTCGTGGTTTTGCTGTGCGGTACGGCTGCACGGCCCTGAAGTCGCTGATGGTGGAAGCCCTCGCTTTGCAGCAACCTGACAGATGAACCGGTAGAAAATCAGGCAGGGTTTGTCAAAACTTCTGCCTGACCTCAGCGGAGTTATTTGTTTCTGCGTTTCTGTGAAACGTTCTTGTTTCAGTGAATCAGCATTTCCGCACTCAAAAGAGGACTCACTTGAAAATTTTGGCTTGTTCTGCTTGTGATCGCTTTTAAAGAGAATTTAAAACTATTGGGTTACATAGGACAAAATGGGTGTTTGCAATTTTTTTTATTTATTTATTTTTAAAGAGAACTGTAGAAATATCAAAAAGAGACAGCACGGGGCCTGCAGTATGTAAATGAGGTGAATTACCTCATTTCTCAGAGACTGAGTGGTCTTTTGCTAGGCAGCCTGGCCGGCGCAGGGTTGTGACAATCACTCTGCAATTTGAATGTTTTCTAGCAAGTGTAGCTAATTTTATGGGGTTTAAATTATTTAGGTTAGCGCATTAAATATGGAACTCCATTAAGAGTGTGGAAAACTCTAACTTCTCCTGGAAACACAGCTTCAAATGATCACCACTTTTCTGTTGCTGATGTAATTGGGTGTTCAGATGGTAGTGTCACCTGATGGTTGGCTGTTCCGATTTCTAAGGAACACTTATGCTCTTTTGGTTTGGGTTTTTTTTTTTTTTGGCGATAATCAAACATAGTAAATGAGAGAGAAGAGGTGGCCAAAAATACCGATGCCTTATTTATTCACAATATAATAAGTCTTGTTGGTTGCAGAGTTTGGGAAATGTGACATTGGACGTGAGTGGACGTGCAACGGTGGGAGGCAAGCTGTGAAACAGGATGCTACCCTGGACTTGCAGGGTCTTCGCTGGCATAGAAACGTGGCTTTTCTAGGCTGGTTTAGTCCAGGAGTTCTGCTCATTTTGAATTTCTCTGCAAAGTGGGGATGGCCTCTTAAGTCAGGTGTTCTTCAGTCTTACGTTGTTCTTTTCCATCCTTGAGTTTCTTCAAGGAGCCTTTATACAAAACTTTTCAGTTCTTAGCCACCGCTGTTTTTTGACAATAAAGTACTTAACGTTGTACATGAATGGCCTAATATGTTTGTATGCCTGCCTTTGTTCCCTCCCTGTTCTGTCCTGCAGGTAATTAAATGCCCTTAGTGTGGATCTTTGCTCT